ATGTGTCTACTTTTACATTTATATGTATGAGTATATTTACTATTTACTCTTTACTAAGCTGCTGGAAAAGATTAAATGGCAAACAAGTGCTAGTGTACTAAATAATTAACTACATTACCGTATGGCTTCCTACACAAACTTGCCGAAGCAGATACTCCAGATAACAAATATGTAACATGCTTTATATACATACATGTATGCTCATCTATAAACACACATACATACATTTAATTCTATTTAAGTGAAACTGCACCTTAAAATCACTCATACGCACTGTATTACTCAAAATTATGTCGTGGTATTGTCATTTTTATTTCGATAATTATAACTTTATTATACAAAATACCTTCTTTCTATTGTCGGTTTGTAATTTTAAAATTGTTGCCAGTTCTCGTTCGCATCATTTATAATTCTAGGACAGCCTAGCCCAATTGTAACGCATATTTTTCTGCCAAATGTCAGCATTTATAAGCAAATCAACAACGAAGCTGCCATATGCCTACATGGTTAAAAAAAAAAAGTTGTTATTGTACGTGCCACAAGAAGCATAATAAATTATTGTTGGCTTTATGCCCTTTACGTAAGGAAACAAGAAAATATTTGACTTATACTAAAATGTTTAAAACAAAAAATAATAAAAAGGAAATTAAAGTATATTTAAATTTAAGTTTAAATAAAAAATAAAGAAAAAAATTTAATATAAATTATTAAATAAAATGTAAAATCTAATGTTTCGTTACGGGGTTATTTGGGGGCTGGAATTCCTTTTGAATTCCGCCAACGGGGACCGGAGCAAGCGCCAGTCTTTCAGCTACAAAAAATTACTACACTTTCTCAAATATAACAAGGGAAGAGTCTTTTAAAGATTAAGCTATTCAATAAAATTTATTGAAATGTGTGCGAAAATATACAACATATATACATTTAAATGCTGAAAAAATATAAAAGGTACGCACTCACCAGAGAATTTGCTGCTGTGGGTGTTGAAGGAAAAAAGAGTTGGTAAGACCGACAAAAATGGTCTTGTAAAGATTTCACCAGAAGGTGGAAATTTGAAGCGGGGCTAGCATGACTCTTCACATAACTTTGAAGAGTTAACAGCAGCGTTAACTGTTGGTGAATGTTATGAATACTGCGCAGGGTTGCACACATATACATATAAAATATCTTATGTTAAATCATATAAAAGTTTATAAGCAATAAATGTAAGATGTCCAAAATAGAGAATAAATTATAATATAAAAGGCTAACGATATTTAATAAAAAATAACTTTTAAAATAAAAACAAAAACAAGTATAAAATATGAAATAAAAAAATTTGAAAAATACAAAATATGAAAAAATATAATATAAAAAAATGAATATAAAACATAAAACATCAAATATAAATCACAAAAATTAAAATAAAAAACTTTATATGTTAAAGAAAATAAGATATAAAATAAAAGCAAAAAACATGTTAAGTATAAAATATAAAATAACAAAAGTTAAGCATAAAATACTAAATTTGAAAAATAAAATTTATGAACAAAATATTAAATATAAGACATAAAACATAGTTTTTATAATATTAAATAAAAATAAAGATATAAACTAAAAAAACTTAAATAAAAATTAAAAGGTAATAAAAATTAACCACAAATGCAAAATATGATAATATATGATAAATAAATATAAAATAAAACGTTTAGATTAAAATATTATTTTTATTTATTTAATTAAAAGAGAAATAATTATAAATATTTATTCCACTTACAAACTAAAGCACTGCTGGATGAAAAAATGTAGAAATAATAAAAAAATAAAAAATTTTATGAATAAAACATAAAATAATAAATTAAAAATATGCTCTATGAAAAATAAAACAATAAATCTTTAACATAAAATAGAAAATATAAAATAAAACATTTGTATATAAAATATATAATATAAATATTTTATATAAAATGTAAACCATAAGAAATATAAAAAAATAGATAAAATATTAAATACGAAAGAAAAAACCAGATATGCGATAAAAACAAAAACAAGTTAAGTATAAAATATAAAATAATAAAAATTAAACACAAAATATTAAATATAAAATGTTATATATGAAATATAAATAAATATATATTGAGTTTAAATATAAAATAAAAGATTTCATAAAAAAAATATAAAACATTAGGTACAAAAAATAAATTAATAAAAATTAAAAATAAAAAAAATATAATTTATGAAAAATAAATTAATAAATATTTAACATGAAATGCAAAGTGTCAAATATATTATTTAATTATAAAATAAAATATAAATAATAATTATGAAATAAAATATAAAATGCTAAATTTAAATAATAATAAGTAATAAATGCATATTTTGAAAAATAAAATAAAAAATTTAGAAAGTTATTATAAAGTAAAAAATAAGGTATAAAAAAAATTAAATAATAATATTATATATAAAATATACCTTATAAAAATAAAAACTTCGCAAAATAATATTAGATGTAATTAAATAAAAAATAACAATCTAGAGTATAAAATTCAAAACAAAAAAAAATTTAATTCATGAAAGGCATAAAAGAATAGGTTATTTGTTTTTTTTCTTAACGCAATTTTTCTAGAAGATTTTTCTTTGTTTATTATTTTTTTTTTTTTTTTGGTATTTTGATGCCTTGGCCTCATATTTGCTCGACATGATGCGACATAAGAAATGTTTTCGAATGTAATTACAATAATTCATAAATCTGCGAAATGCGTTCAAGAGGTAAAACATACAAATATATGTATAATAAATAAACAATGCAAACAACTAAACACTTTATAAAAAAATCTGCGTGTCTACATTTTACAATATTTATGCAGATGAAGTTGAAGAAAAAATTACAAAAAAAAAATGTATACACATATAAAATCAGACTGGTCGCACACCAACGCCTTCACAGACAAAATGTAATCAACATTGTCAACAACAACAATTTCTTTAACAACACTATCATTATTGTCAGTAAATAGCAAATAAACAACAACATGAACAAAAAAAAAGTGCCAAGAGTTTTCGAGTTTGGTTCGTTGGATATTTGGTCTGTTCCTGGCATTGCTTTACGCTTGTGGGTTGTACATTTATATTTATACATTTCTTGTTGTTTGTATACGTACACTCATACTTGTATGTCATGTCTATTTGATCTTGTTTTTTGCTATGTCTGCATTGCACATATGCAAGTGTGCTGTTGTTATTATTATTATTTTTGTTGTTGTAAAGGTGTGCATGCGCGCGCGAATGATTTAAATTGGCATTTGCATAAAAATCACAATTACGAGTGATTTCCTTTTTGAATTCAAGCGCTCGTATGTATGTATGTATGTAAGCATATGCATATTTATTTGATTTGTTGCATGTGCAATGCGCTAAATACCTGCACATATGTATGTATGTTTATATTTCTGCAAATATGTAAATTGGCAATGGGTGTATGCAAAGTTGTAATATACATATATGCATATACATATAGAAATTGTGCAATGTATTAAGGTTTACATACCTTGATAGCCCCCGCAAAAAAATGTGTGTGTAATTTTTCTCTTTTTTTTCTTTGGATGCACTTTATTCCTATATTCATATGCATGAATGTACGTATATACTATATATGTATATGATATTCTGATATATGTCTTGTGGCATGTAATTTTTTGTTGTTGTCATTACTGGTAGTAATGTACCGCATCTGAATTATGGCCTATACATATAACTAATATATAACGGAAATAGAAAATATAAATTTAATTGTAATAGAAACAGCAACAAGAAAATTTAGTAGCTACATTTAAACACAAAAAATGGCAAATAAAAAGCTGCTAACATATTTTAAGAAAAAAATGGTAATTATACAAAATTTTTAAAATACCCAAATAAAAAAATGAATAAAAATAAATAAAAAATAAAAATTAGAAATGCAGACATTGGGAAGTAGCAACACTTCAAAAAAGGAATACTAAGATAAAAAAATAAATAAAAATAGCAATTAAATGTTAGGATAATAAATAGAAATTTAAAATGAATAAAATAATAAAAAAAAGAAAATAATGGCTACATTCAAAAATAAATACATGAAAATACTAACAACATTAAAAAATAAAATTAAATTAAATTAAAAATATAAACTTATATCAACAAAAATTAAAAAAAAATTATTATAACTACATTTGAACAGGTATTCTGATGTATGGACGGAATGTTTCAGATTTTTGAGTTTATTTTTATATGAAAAAAAAAATTATAAGTTGAGTCTTTTTTAGAATAGACTGAATTTAATTCTTTCAAAATCGATTGTTGCGTCAGCTATCGAAAATTTAATGTTCCACTAATAATTTAAAACATTTATTGAAGCGAAAACATATTTTAATCTTTATTTTTTCCATGAAATCATATTTTTTTGGCTCCATTTCGTCATAAAAACTATCCATACTTTTCCAATCAGAAAATTAAATCAGTTTAATACTCAACGAGTATAAGCTTTTTATTTTTTTTAATTCTAATTACAGAAACAACGAAAATATATAACTGATTTTGAGATATTCTGCTCAAAATCTAATATTATGAGTTGTGGCCATTGTATGATTATATTACTATATAGATTGTGTTTTTTGTATAATTCAAGTTATACTCGAGATTAGTTTCATAGGATGTGGGACGATAAGTGACCTGAAATAGCGCTAGAAGGGTATCACGACCATCATTTCAAGCGAAGTTGGTACCAAGTAAATCAAAAATTATTAGAAAAAATAGGAGATATCTTGATTTTCCTTAGTCCCATATATATTATTTTCCGTTTTATTACTTTTTATTTGATAAAAATTATTGGTAAAAATCGTATTTGAATATTGTTTGAATATTATAAATATTTTAAAATTATTCATATACTTATACATTATTATATATATATATTATTTTATATATATATTGTTATATATATATATTGTTATTAATATTTTCAAATATTTTTTTTTTGTTTACAGAGATGGCAGCGGCGATGGTTTGTTTTATATGACGATGGCGAACTGACATATTCGGTGGATGAACATGTGAGTAACGATATTGGTATTATTAATAATTTTATTTTAACTTTCGTTATATTAATGGTTCAATGATTAATAAAAAAATTCTAATATTATTTTTTTAATACTTTAGATATTTTCTAAATTTTACATTCTTAAAATCAGAAATATAAATAGCCAGAAAGCCCAAGATAAAATTAAATGCCTGCTTTAGCTAATGGTTAAACAGCCACGTCCACTTTTCATCAAAATCTTTATATCTACGCAAATATTATTATATAATTGCCACATTTGAGGTAGACAATACTGATTGTTGTTATATACGTCAAAAACTGGTATAATTATTTATATATAATAAAAGACTCGCCCCGACAAGTCTACTCTTAGTACATTTTAAAAAATGCGATAATATATACACATAATACTTATATGTAGAAGTATTTATGTAAATTACTGTATGCTAAAAATAGCGGTTAAAAATGCATAATTACGTTTAGTAAATAGCAAAGCTTAACTGCGATCAGCTTTTTCTGCTAAAAAATTTATAGTTTATATTCAGAAGTTATTTTTAACGATTTAAATTAATGGTTTTTTGTATTAATTTAATAATATTATATTTAAATTTTCACGCTCTTTAATGTCCGTAGATTTAAAACAGTCTTCTTATCTTTTTAACTATTAATATATACATATATATGTAAGTACATAAATACCAGTATGAATCTCTTGTGTCCTTTTACACAACATCTGTATGCATATAAATGTTTGAACTACTTTACATTCTCTACATTCTGTCTAAAACTGTGACTGCAAGATCAACCGTTGTTAACTATTCTTGCGTCCCAATTGAGGCAATATTTCATATTTTATAGTTTTCTTTCAAGAACTCCATATGAACTATAAACTTGGCCAAATCATTCCTCATTTTTGTATTATAAATGAAAAACACTTATAAAAAAAATGCAAAAATTTAAAATCTTTATAGAGAATTTCTTGAGAATTTTTTTTTTAAACACTTATAAACAACTTAAAAGAGGAATTTTTGTATTAATAAAAACTATGTGCAAAATTGACTTTTTACCTATAAATAAAATAAATAAATATTTTGCACTTACGACTTTCTCTATTTTTGATATTTATTTTATTATGGAAGTGAACTGAGAAAGTCAAGTATTAAAAAAACATAAATATTGTTCACGTTAAATTAAATTTTCACAACACATTACCAACAATTATTTGGTTATTATTCTGCCGTCACATGCATTCGTCGCATTGTGACCCTTACAAGAAGCGTTCAAAAGCTTCTAAAGTATGTACATATGTAAGTATGTACATATCCATGTGGTAGGGCAAAACAAGACAAAATTAAAAAAAAATAAAAGAAATTGACAACTAAAACCCACTTTCTATGAAACCATTTCGAATTCGAATTACCAATTTTATTACCAATCGCTGATGGCGCTGAAAATTTCTTTCTGTTATTTTTGGTCGCCGCCGACTGCACATTCTTCGACACTCACTCACTCTTTAAGGTGCCACTTTGTTTTTTTTTTCCTCTTTCTTTTAAAAGTGTGGCTTACCCATATTCCGTGTGGCAAAATATATATGTATGTATGTAAAACAACAATATTAAGGCCTATACAAAAATGTATACTAATTGGCACCCTACTGCAGCACCTGTCAAAGCTTGCGTGTAAGAATTGTATGTTATATGGTACATTTGTAAGTATTATATATATATATATATATATATATATATATATGTATGTGCTATGAATGAGTATGTTTACATATATGTCTTAAGTATGTATGCGCATAAGTGTGGAGCAAACAAGTGTTATCCGCGGCTTATTGACTGTTGGCCTTGCTAACTGGGCTGTCTGTCGGCGGGTATTTTTTTCTTTTGATCGCACTGATCTGAGTTCATAGCAATGCAGTGTGTAAAAGAGTTGCCATCTTGTCATAAAATATAAAATAAATATGCAATTTTTAATGTAAATTTTGCATTTAATTTTATTATTATTTTATTAAAATTTTAATTTTAATTTAAATTTTGGCCATTTGATGTTTAATACAAATTTTTATTTTTATTTAATTTTAGTTATAATTTTATTTTTATATTTATTTTTACTTATATTTTTATTTACAATTTTATTTTAATTTTGGTTTTGATTTCGATTTTAATTTACTTATTAATTTTAATTTTAATTTTAATTTTAATTTTAATCTCAATCTCAATTTCAATTTCAATTTCAATTTCAATTTTTATATTAACTAATTTCAGCTTAAATTAAAATTTTAATTATAACTTTAATTTTAATTTTAAATTTTAATTTTAATTTAAAATTTTTTTTAATTTTAATTTTAATATCAACTTTAATTTATATTATATTAAAATTTGAATACTTTTTTAATTATTAATTATAATTATTATTTAAATTTTTATTTAGTTTCTAATTTTAATTTTAATTTCAATTTAATCTTTAATTTTTATTTAATTTTAATATTGTATTTCTTTTAATTTTTGATTTTTATTTTAATTTTGAGTTTAATTATGTTTTCTTTTTTAGTATTTATTTTAAATTTAATTTAAGTTTTAATTTCAATTACTGTTTTAAATTTATTTTAAGTTTTAATTTTGTTTTTAATTTGGGTTTTTTTGTAATTTAAATTTTATTATAATTTTACTTTGAAGTTTAATTTTTTTATTTCTTTTATTTAATTTTTATTTTCATTATAATTATACTTTTAAGTTTAGTTTTAATTTATTTTTATCTTTAATTTAATATCAATTTTCAGTTCAATTTTTATTTTTATATTAATCTTAATTTTAAGTTTCATATAAATTTTAAATATATTTTGTATTTTAATTTTATTATATTTTGTTAATAATTGCAAAAAAGGTTTAAAATTAATAATCTTAATTTTATTGACTTAATTTTAAATTTTAATTTAAGCTTTAATTTTGTGTAAAATTTAACATTTATTTTATTTTATTTTACTTGCAATTTTACTGTTTTAATTGTCAGCCAAATGATTGCTTTTCTGCAAAGTTAGTTATGTGTCTGGTAAGCTTTTAGATGAATGCCTGGTGTGAACAGCGTATAAAATGCCTTCATCAAAGAAATACTTGTGCATAGATTAGGTAATTTTAATTATAAGTCGCATACAGTGTCCTCGATTGGTAAATTTTTAGTTTCATCACAAAATTTTGTGTCTGAAATGCTTTCAATACACTAATTGATTCTCTTGTGTGAACAGCGCTCGCAATGCATTTTTCAGAATAATTTATATGAAACTAATTTAAACTTGATTATATATACATACATATATATACAAATAAATGGCGCTCTGCACGCGCTAAGTCGATTTTAAAACGAGCTCGTCCTCCAAATTTATGATTGTGCGTCTTGATCTGCAGGTATGCCGCAGCCGTACGGCCAATAGATTTTTATAAAGAGCTTTAATGTTCACGTCAAAGATACACTCGGATTACGTCATTGTAATTATAAATTGTGATTTTCTTTGATATTAAATTAACATTGAAAAGATTGTGTTATGAGATATTTTGCATTTTCCATATAGAAAAACATAATTTTACTCATTTTCCATTTCACTATGGCAACACTAATACAGTGAAGGCCAACAACAAATTGAAAAACAAAATATTTCTTCACATTTTCATGCAGCTTAAAATATGCCAAAGGCAAGGACCTACTACCACGAACTATACAAATACATGCAGACGTATGTATGTATCCACAACCTATTGTCGTTGCAAGAAAAGTGCACTTAAATAGCCAAACGTGCTATATAAATTCAAATTAACGAGCATTTCAGTTGAATGCCTTTTTGATTTGTTTATGGTTCAGGCGGTGAGAAAGGGAAAGGCCATTAGAAAATAAGTGGACGTTTTCACATACCCACTAATATAGTATAAATTTATGTATATGAAGTTAATGATGTCAGTAAATAGGAACAAAATTAGTTTTTACTTTCTTATTTATTTCTTTTTTTATAAAATTTTTACGTTAAAAAACGAGCTTAAAAAAATACATACCAATGAAAGTTCTGCTCCACTTAATAACTCAGGGTTTTCCCTCTCTAACGAATTCCTGATGGGTTATAAGCCGTACATAGAACTATTGATGTTTTGTAGTTCGAAAGAAATCTTTTTTTTAAATATAAAAGTCGTCATTAAGGACGTTAACGCTCTTTGTGGCATACCGTTGGGCCTTCAACCGTCCTACCTTCACTGCCTTTTTCGTCAAATTACTTGCACAGAGCATTCCGAGTTTTCGTTATTTCATGTATAGCGCTTTCGGCAATCTTATTAGCTATTTTCTTATGTCAATAAGTCTACTTTACTGCAATAGAGTCCATTCTATTAGTAGATCGCGCAATTTTACCCATCAATAATCTTTTATTTTAACCATCCGACTCTTTTTCCATAGAAAAAGTGATCTTTAGCCTATTTAATCTACTCTTGCCTTGTCTGAAGGTCCTTATAGAGAATTCACCTGAAGAGGGGTGTTAGATGAGTAGCTTGTCGTTGAGTCTTCTTTGGCATCTAGACTATAATTTCACCAGTTTTATCAGGGTCGTGTGTGGCAGCTCGTGCATGCTCTGGGTGGTCGTTGGAATCCCTTTAGCATATTTGGGTATCTTAATGCTTTCTAGCTTGGTTAGAAGCTAATTTTTTATATCTTTTATATCCACTGAGCTTGTTAGGGAGCAAAAATCACCTAATATAAATGCTTTCATGACTTAAGTCCAAAATCTCTCAAACATTTTGCACATTTTAATGAAATTTCTTTTTCTTTTTTTCTTGATATTTCCACAGCCTGAAACTGTGCCACAAGCATGTATAGATATGACCAAAGTACTGGAGGTCGCCATGGCGGAAGATGTGACGGGACATACTAATTCGATTGCCATCACCGCCCCCGATCGGGTCACGTTCGTGAAGGGCACATGTCCCGAAGAGTCCAAGTGGTGGCTTAACATATTGGCCGCATTTCCCAAATCCAAAGGACGCCACAAACGTAATGCCACATTTCCAGGCGGTCAAGCGACAACAACGATTTTACAACAAATCAATACAGATGCATATAATGCGGCAGCTGCTGCAGGCGTAACGACACGCAATCGCCATAATTCATACCACAAGGATGCATTGACGTCGGTGCAATCGACCAGTGTGCTAATTGGCAGTGGCGGCAATAATGTTACACAGCGTAAAGCCAATACCGTGACGACAGCGGCAACGGTGATGACGCGCACCAATGAATATCGCAACGTAGCCGACGACGTGGAGGATGACGAAGACGAGGAGGAGGAAGACGAAGATGATGTTGATGATGATGATGATGAAGACGACGGTGTCGAGACAGGCGAAGACGAAGAGAATGAGGAAGATGATAATGATGTTCAAGTGGGTGTGCGTGTCGCTGATGAGGTAGACAGCAGCAAAAAGGAATCGCAGCAGGATGATAAAGTTCGTGGCGATATTAAAGAGACCAACAGCAAAGGTGTGTTAACAGACATTTTTTGTGTATATATTTGTAATAAGAAGAAATTATGCGATTCACCTTTCAACTGCACACATTTTCACAGACATATATAAGCATATGCATCTCTCTCACTCTGGAATCGGCTAAAGAAATAATTTTATTTATTTATTTTTCAAATCGCATACATACATACTATATGCTGAAAAAATTCACTGCTCGTCTATAACGTGTTTTAGTTAGTGAAAAATGGAGCCCTTGATATGATGAAGCCTATAATTTAGTAAAAAACACACATAGTTATGGGCATATAAGAATGTTTGTACATTCGTCTGAAGATTTGTGTAGGAAATTCACGTGAACTTAAGTATCCTGAAGCTATGTATGAATTGCAAATGTATAGCTTTGTAATGCGAAATATATCATTATCGCATTATTGTAGTTTAGAAGACCTTGGTTAGTAGCTAAAATAAAAAAAAATTAAACAAGATAAAATACCAAACGAAACCAAATAAAGTGAATTAAGATAAAATTGATTTCAATAAAAAATTAATGATATAAACAAATTAAAATTCAATAAAATTAAAATAAATTAAATTTAATCAATTACATTAAATTACCCTACACCAAATAAAATAAAAGGAAATGCAAAAAAAGAAACGAAATGAAATGAAATGAAATAAAATAAAATGAAATAAAATAAAATGAAATGAAATAAAATAAAATAAAATAAAATAAAATAAAATAAAATAAAATAAAATAAAATAAAATAAAATAAAATAAAATAAAATAAAAAAAATTAGTTAATTGAAAAAAATGAATTTAATTAAAATATAATAAGAATCAAAATGAATTAAAATAATCCAGTTTTACCTAACTGGTATTGAAAAGATAAGCAAAGAGTACTTTTAAGCATTCCAAACCATTTCTCTACTACATTGATCACTTACTTATTACTATTACATGACGGAACAAAGCAGTAAATAAAATGTAATAATAATGTACTGTCTTACCGAGCATATTTTTTGTGCTACAGATTTGTAGGTTGGTATACGGGCATCGACTCAGTTAGGCAAAAATTCATCCATTATGACACCACAAATTTTTTGCTGCAATTCAACTCCTTCTCCATCCACCTTTAATGCGACCTGAGTGTGAAAGTAATATGTTGCATTTCGCTACAGACAACCACTGCTTTATTTATTTGAAAGAATGTGTTAGATCGTACCTGACTTAGTGATTTCGTCTGCTATACGTTTCTCTTCTATGTGGCTATGTCGGCGGAAACCCAAACGAGTAATATTATATTCTGTCCAGCTATCTGCAGAAGAGATCTGTTACAGTACACTAGGGTTTAATTTATAAGCAAACTTATATTAATAATTTTTTATTGCTACTGTTTACTAGTGAAATGATCTTCATTCCTAATATTTGGCATAACCGCCTTTTTAATATTTTTTTTTTATTTGGCTCAATGTATTTTTCCTTAATTTTTTAACCCACTCGAGTTGTACAGCGATGTGTTCGGCACTATTGAGCTGTGGGATACAGACATAGTGAGCATCCACCGATATCCATTTTCATTCACTTTCTAATATCGCTCAAAAGATATATTCTGGCGCTAACGCTAACCGAAACAGTCACGAAATGATCCCGAATGGTTTTTTCGTCTCCCCAAGTGTCCCAATTTAACTTATTAATGCTGTCTGTTCTCCAAAAAACCATGTACAATAATGTCAGCCATTCATGCTGGTACTACCAAGGAAGCTTCTAGGTGTGAACTTTGTGATTTTTTCTTTATTTTAACGTAAATTTCAGTGAATTTTTAAACTCCTGGAAAACATAAGCAATTTAATGTTCACCTATAAATCATTACCACATTTGCTTGGTTAATTTATTCAATTTATATTTTTTACTGGAAACAAAAATGATATGACAAGCTCTTGTAATATACTTAACAAAATTGATGTTGTTGAACTAAAATGTGACTGGGAAATCAATCGAAAATTACACTTACACATAGTATATTTGCATTAATGTATCAGAAAAAATCCATAGTTTTGGCTTTAAATCAATTTTGTATTCGTTTACACTTACGCGAGTATATCGGCATACTTATACATAACCTGCAGTTGAATGAACTTGTTAAAGATTACCTCGAAACTAGTGCGCAAGTTAGCAAGCTTGACTACACACTCAACAGTCTTTTTTACCATACAAAAATTGCTTTTCCTCATGCACACAAGTCCCAAGAGTTATCAACAGTCAGTTTTTAGTCAGAAATATACTAGTCTCAACCCAGTTCAAACTGGTAGAAGCAATTACTAGTACAATTTTGCTAGCGATTAATAAACCAATTTACAGAGACAGAGAATGAACTGTTTAAATTTATGATTGTACCTATTTGTGATTGTTGGGGTTTTTATTTTTATATTTATGCCTCAATTCTTTTCGTTACTCAATTCTATAAATTTAAATATTTCCAATTAAATATTATTATATTAAAAATATTGTATTGAAATTAGATTTTAACAGATTTGCTATAAATAATTTGGTGGGCTGGTTGTAAACTAGTACGTTTTCGAACAAGTTTAACATTTCATTGCAGCAAAAAATACGAAAATATATTTGTCTGTGCACATGTCTGCCATAACATCTTCCCCACTTTGTAAATACCGAAACGTCATAGCTGTACGTGTATGTGTGAGCCTGCGAGTATGTTCCGCATTTGACATTAACTAATTGTCAGTCATTAATAAAAGAAATGTTGCATTAAATATGGCCTTACATTTGTTAAGTTATCGAATGCAGTGCAGCGCATTACATCCGAATATGCACAGACATACATATGCATATACATATGCAAGCATGCATGCATGTAGCTCAACATATTTACTTTGCCAATTCGTTGCGATTTCAAAATTTGCACGCTTACACTGAACTTTTGGCCAAACTCTGGTTGGTTTACTCCATAGCCGCTATTACCACCGCCGACGGCGGTATGTTGATTGCCATGGCTGTCGAGGTTGGTTCAACATGTCAAGTCCTGCCGTTTGGTGCTCAAAGTAAATATGGGAGTATGTGTATATTGATGCGCACATACATCTCTTATGTTTATACATACATACATACATACATACATACATACATCGATATATGTTGTGCTTGATTAAATCAATAAATAATAAAATTCGAAAAATTTAACAAATGAATGAGCGTAAAATTATTCATTGATCATGCATTGGTGAGTTCAATGCGGGGCATGTCGATATGTGATATTATAACATACATTTTAATACATACATATATTTTTTATTTATATGTACAGAAAAAAATAAGTCATATGCTTGCCCTGGAGTCGAATTCAATACAATTTGTTTTTTTCGAAACATTGTTTGAAACCAAGATATTTTCGGTATCGGATAAACTCAATTGAGATTTTTCCGAAACAGAAAAAAAATATATATTTGATCCTCTTTTGTTCCCCTGAAAAGCATTGTATGCATTGATAAAGTGGTATCTGATGCCGAAGAGAGATTGTGCTTTAGCCTTAAAAGCTATGCTCCTTTCAGTACAAGTGGTTTCTTCTTCTCCAGAATATGATTTTGATTATCATACTGTTTTCATGAGTTGACTATGATCAGTATCTTTCAGTTCCCCAATTAGCACATCAGTCGATACATTCATTTTTACTGTCACTGGCAAAGGTACTTTTGCTTTCGGTGTAGACTGAATGTTACCATTTTAATCTCGGCCCCTCCTCAAAGTTCTTATAGCGCCTTTATGGCTTCTTTTAACTACGTGTATAACAGAGGGCAAGGTGGTGGTAAAACGCGTTCATTTTTTGTCTAAGCCTTGCCAACTCTTAACTTCATCCTTTATCGGGGTGGACTTGGTGCTTTTGCTTTCAACCTTCAATCTTCTGTATAGCCGAAGGAAAACTTTTGATTACATCCTCCTTTTCAGCTGTTATAATGCTTCCAATACTATACAGGTCCAAGCCTTCATTAGCTGTGGTAATCTTACGTTGTAATGTTGATTTCACAGCAGCTTCGTCCACTATGAACTGTTATCTGCCGGCATGGTGTATGGTCGGTGACGACACAGGTAATAAACTTGCTATGCTCGGCATTTTTACCACCAATATTTTCGAAGCCTCCACTCCCAGCGTTTTATACATACAGCCAGATATCTCATAAGCAATGACTAATATAAACTTATATTCTCCTCTCAGAGTATAGGAAGAAAAATAGCAGTCAAGAGGGCATTCAACGGCTTTCATGACAGGTTATTCGTACTAGCTCAGGTTCCAAGCCATATCGGTACCAATAGCGCGACGCCCATTACTCACTTAATACTCGAACAAATGCTACACCCTACAAAAAAAAATCGTGGAAAAATCGAAAATTAACCTTCAGACACCTTTCGATAACTTTAAAATAAAATTGCCGATAATTTGCTTGAAATTCGGGATTTGTGGCTAGCAAGAAGGTGGTGAACAACATTTTGAAAGGAAGCAGAATTTTACTGCTACAATTTTATAATAACAAAGCCAAAAGATATTTCTCCTTTTATTTTATGAATGACAATTTGTGCAACAATTTGATTAAATACTGTAAAACCGATTCTTCACGATTGAGGGACTTAACTAATCATGTTCAGTTACGTGAATATTTGGCTAATCCAAGTGAAGAGACCTATTTCATGTTAAAATTAGAATTTTAATTATTTTTCATTGAAGATCAAGATCTACCGCTTTGCCACGCATTCCTTCCGTTATTCAGCACAACCAGGTTTTAGTCTTTATTTCGAGCCATGCACAGTACATTGCTGCCCTCACGCGAGAACTAAGAGTATAATAATAGCTTAAGTATTCGGATTTGGTATATCAAGATTTTTTAAAAATCTGTATAAAACAGCCGGGTACAGAAGTTGACTTGAATTTGTAAAATTGTATACTCCAAGAGCGATACGAAAAACTTGTGACTACAATTTGACAAACTTTATTTTAAAAAAAATTG